TTAAGGGTAACTAGTCCACTGGATGAAAACTGAAATTTATCTTATGACTGTGCATGCACACACATTGTGAAAGTACCTCACAGGAGACCTCACTTTTCTGTACATGAGCTTCTCATCAAGAAATGTAATTTTAGTGCATTTTCATTTACTTACATATCACTTGAAGTTCAGGCTGGAGTCAGGAGACCCATGATAGCTGGGAGCTGTTCTGTTAATTCCCTATCTGCAGAGGTGACGCAGTTGAGCATGTGAGATCTGCCTCACAGCAGCACTCTTCTTTCTATCCTCTAAGTAATCCTCAGAAGTGGACTTTGTCCCATTTACCTGCAGAACCCGGAGAATGTTCTGCTGCTGGGATTCTACTCTCGGATTGTTGGAGGGGGAAAGACAGTTCCCGGGGGGCAGCTCCAGCAGGTCTGTGGAGCACTGCACTGACTCCGTCCCGGGGGAGCAGTACTTCTATTTTGCACATTGCCAGATCAGACTCCGGCAAACAGTTTTTACCACCTCCTTCTACCCTAAAACCAATCCCTACACGTGCAGCAGCTTGGAAACGTGTGCAGGTGGTAGCATGAAGGGCAGGAAGGCCTTTTAGGAGACAAGAGAGGGCAGGGTGTTGGGTTCAAGTGGGTTTCTCTAGATGCCTGGCTGGTGTTGAGCTCCAGGAATGCTCTTGCAGCCGTAAGAAAGATGAGTGGGATCTGTGTGAAGTCCCCTCTGTTTTGGGGTCTTCTAGAGTTTCATTCCCTTCAAATACCTACTGGGGCTGAAGGTGGAGGCTACAGGTCATCCATACACAGCTTTTCTAGTCCGGGCAGATCTTTGATACCTCATTTTGGGAGCAAATGGGAGTTACCTCATCTCAAAATATATCCGACCCTTCCTTTGAAGGGCCTGCATTTCTGAGAAAGAAGGAGCAGCAGTGAAGCTTCCTGGTAAAAGCAGCCCTGGCATCTGTCCTATTACCCATAGCAATCACTTTGGTTTCTGCACTTTTAATGCAAGACCAGCTTTGCTAAAGACCTCTTAATGGGCAGGGGCAATGATATAAGCGACGCCTTTGCCAGCCCTTTTACAATCCATTATGCTGTAATTGCAGGCCAGTCCGCTTCACATCTGCTTCTTCCTCAACTTGAGTGACACCTCTGAGAACTGATGTTGAGGAATGACAACAATAAAAACTGTAATGTGCAAGATGAACCTTGATGGCAAAGCACATCACTGTTTCTATTGCCAGTGCTTCTGCTCTCAGCTGTTGTGCTGCCAAAGTTCGTTTCTGTGTTCTCCAGAGGAAAGGTTTCCCTAAATGAAGAAAGTTGTTAATTTACTGAAAAAAGTTTAAACAAAAACTTACAGTGAACCCCCTCTGCAGCTTTTTGGGGCACTTGTTGGAGGCCCCACTTGTCAATTTTCTATGTGTTGGGTAATGCTTCTCTGACAGCACAGCTGAAAGACACACTGAATGGCACCTTGACTCTGCTGGAGCTGATTGCTCTCAGTTGAACTGTGATGTCATATTGCTTATCAAATATGCAGAAAAAGCACAAAAGGCATACTCTTGTTTAGCATTACATGGGTCTATATAGTGTAGCTGCCCAAAAAACTTGCTAAAGCTGTTAAATGTCTGCCTCTGCTTATCTCCTTAATGCACCAACTACAAACAGAGAAGAAGGATTTATGGGGCCAGAATGACTGTGATGCTCAGTTCCCTTTGCTTTTAAAGTTTTGCGTGTGGTTATGTCCTGAGGGATGGTTAGTGGGCATGGTGGTGAAGTGTTGACTGTTGGACTAGATGGTCTTTTCCAAATTTAGTGATTCTTAATGATGGTAAGATCCTGGACTGCAGGTAACAAGGTCTGAGCTTGGTGTTTCAGGGCTGAAACCAGCACTGAAGTTGGCGAGGCCCAAGACAATAGCCACTGTGCCCCTCCCCATCCAGGCTGGCTGTAGGGGAATCTGCTGGGACATTTTCTGGCAGCTCTATGTGGCTGTGCATGAGCAGTGGCTCGATGGGCAGCAGATGAAACAAGCCTGTTCATCAGTTTAAAGTGAAGTGCAGCTTTTCCACTGAGATCAGTGGATTCTCTGCATGGCTGCTGAAGTGAAGTCAGCCCAGCTGGGAGTCTTGTGACTGAGGGCCAAAACCAGTTCCCAGCATAGGAGCATGTTTCAGGGTTGCAGCATCTGTGCCTTCATGGGAACTGGCAGGAAATATTTTGCATTGTGGCAGCAACTCCTTCCCACGTAGTGTGGGTTTTATTTTTCAGTTAGGAGACTTCAGAAGAACCTGATGGTGACTGTGGGGATGTGTCACCTGCAATGGGTGGACAGGCAGGAGTGTCCCCATCTCACGTGTCATTGTGCACCTCTGGTTTAATTGGCTGTACTATATGAGCTGTGATGTGGCTGTGCTACGCCTTCAGCTCCTTAAAGCCTGCTTGCTTCAAGCGCTTCTGCATGCAAAGTCCCTGGAGGTGATTTTAGGCCCTCAGTGTTAGGGAAGTGATGTGAGCTTCATCTCCCATGTTTTTTAAAAGCAGTTCCCTGAGCTATATAAAGCCATGCCAAGATGCAGTCAACTGGTCATGCCTGATCGTGGCCATTAGGTGACAGACCAGCCAACATAAAATAACCATCTGTCACTTCTCATGCTGGCTAGGTAGTCTGAGCTGAGGTAGTTTGACTTGGTGGTGGTAGCCTTGCTTTTTGCCTGTAATGGTAGGAACCTAGGAAGTAAGACCCAAGAAATAGTTTTTTCAGGACTGTCTCAATCCAGTTATTGGAGAGATGGTTCAACATATATATACCTGGAAGAACATTAAGGCAGCAAGAGGCCAAGTGCTGTCAATGGATATATTACAAATTCTGAGCAGCTAAGGAATGCGGGGAGGATGGAGAAGTGAGCAGTGGTAAAGGGGAAAATCCTAGCAAAAGGTTTATAAAGCAGGGGATTGTCAAGAGCAGGGGATCCAGCAGCGCCTTGTTGGTCTGTAGGGTGGCAGTAAGTTGGTCAGCAACATCCTGCACTGGTCCTCAGGGAGGAGAATGATGCATAGAATTTCCCAAATGCTGTGCTGTTCCCACACTGTGTGAGATTGATACAGTGGCTATGTGCTTTCCTGATCTATCATGCTGTTTCCCACCTTCCTCTTGTCCCCTTCCCAAGTATTCTTCTGCTGAAGTCAGCATTCAGAGGCAGCTGTCTTCCTGATCCCTCTATGAATTTGCCATGCCTCAGTGCAAAACTTATGACACGTGACTAACTTCAGTTTGTACTTTTAATTCTTAAGTACCTACGAGTTGCTGCAATGTTCTGGGAAGAGTCATAGAATCCCAGACTGGCTTGGGTTGGAAGGGACCTCAAAGCTCATCTAGTTCCATCCCCTGCTGCAAGCAGGGCTGCCAAAGAAAGAGAAAATGGGAAAGTATGGAGCAGTGCGATCAAAGGATGTTGTTTTGTACCTGTAAATCAGATGTCCTCCTGGAAGTACCGAGTCAATCTGTGTGCCCTTCTTTCTGCAGTGGATGAAGTCCAGCCTGTCTGCCTCCCCCACATGGATGAAGGCTTCGAGTCTGGGATGCTGTACATGGCCAGTGGCTGGGGCAAGATGTCTGAGGGGGAGTGGACTTGAAGGGCCTCTGGTCACTTCAGGGAGAAAGGGTAGTGCATAAAGGAGAGGAGGCATTTTGTTTCAGAAGCAGAAATACAAGAAAAGGAGCAGTTTGATTCTCCACCTGACAGGATACGCCTCTCTTGTCAGGGATCCTCTGCTTGTGAGAGGACTGTTCCCAGGATGAGATGCACAGATCAGCATTTTCCTGCAGCATGGGACCTTGGAGCTCATTAGCAAAGGTTGTGCTCTGCAGTACTTCTGTGCATATTCATGTATGGATAGCTGAGCCTAGAGCTGTCCCTACAAGGTTCCCTTCTACTTAAGAATGAATGATAGGCTCTAATGGAGATGAAAATGCCTGAATTTGCACTTTCAAGGGCTACTCTTGATGATTCCTTCTCTAAACCCCTTCTCTTGATCCCAGGGCGCAGTGAAGCAGTTAGGGCAAATGACTGTTGCTGTCTCTCCCCGGCTCAGCAGCATTTCCACTTCCCCTGCGCTCTGGGGCTCATCCAAACATGTCATGCCTATTCCCTAGCAGCCTTCCCAGGGGACAGCATATATCTGTGGGAAGTGATGGGGGAGTGTGGCATGGGCAGTGCTACCAAGAGGCTGGGAGGAATGAGATACCCTGTGTACATACAAGAGGGTGGCTCTGGAGGGCCCCTTGCCTGTCTGAGGACTGGTGGCACCTGGCCACAAGCTGGTGTGGTGTCCAGAAGTGCTTTTTTCTCTCCTGTTTGTTCAGCAAAACAGGAACTAGCGTTGTCCTGCTGCTCCACCCACAGCACTTCTCTCTAGTTTCAAGTTGATGCATCAGCAGCAAAGCATTTTTATTATTTCTTTACCTTTATTTTGCAGTGGTAGAACCAAAAGTCGAGGTAGACATGTCCCCACATGGAAATCCCATGTTAATAGCAGGTCTGACCTGCAGCAGGGCGAGGGAGGTGATCCTGCCCCTCTGCTCTGCACTGGTGAGGCCTCAGCTGAAGCAGTGCATCCAGGTGTGGAGTCCTCAACATAGGAGAGATGTGGAAATGTCAGAGAGCATCCAGAGGAGGGCCACAAAAATGATCCAAAGGGATCCAAGGGATGGAACATTTTCCCTATGAGGACAGGCTGTGAGCCAAAGCTATTCAGCCTTGAGAAGAGAAGGCACTGGGGAGATCTGAGAGCAGCCTTTCAGTGTCTGAAGGAGGCTATAAGAAGGAAGGAGACAGATTCTTTAGCAGAGTGTGTTATGATAGGACAAGGGTGTATGGGAACTGCAGAGTCACGGCCTGAACCTCTGATTGATCACCTGAGGCGAGCCATGAGTCAGGCAGAGGAGCACAGGTGGAGGCCATTCACTGTGCTGCTGGAAGGGATGGAGCCTGGCTGCACCCCTCCTAGAGCTATTGAAGAGCTGGCTACCAGTGGGGAAGGATCTCTTCTGGAGATCTGCTCTGCTGGTGTTTTGTGGGTGAGCCCAGGATAGGGGTAAGCCTTCTATTTATTCTCTTTTGTTATCATTGTCTGCTTTGCCTAACTCTCTTGCTTATTTTGTGATTATAACATCCTACTATTATTTGATTATACAAAGGGAAAGCAGTTTCAATGTAAAAGAGGGGAGATTTAGGTTGGATTTAAAGAAGAAGTATTTTACAATAAGGCTGATGAGGTACTGGGGCAGGTTGCCAGGAGAGGTGGTGGATGCCCCATCTTTGGAAACACCCAAGGTCAGGCTTGATGGGCCTCTGAGCAACGTGATCTACCTGTGGGTGTCCCTGTTCACTGCAGAGGGTTGGATCAGTTGGCCTTTAGGGATCCCATTCAACTCAAACAATTCTTCCTACTCTGAAGGAAGAGCAGAAGGCTACTCAAGTTATATGTTCTTGGATGGATGCAGCCCTTCCAGTTGGGAGAAGAAACTCAGAGTGCTGCATATCACTTCTGCCCTAATAAAACTCCCTTTGAGTGCTAACCAGCTCCAGAACCAAGCTGTGGTTGTGCTCCTATAACAGCATGCAGGATTGATGGGGGGTTATCTCCTAATCAAACACAACTTTGATCACATGTGGGAAGAGGTGTGCAGCAGTTGTAATGACTTATCACAAGTGCTTTTTATAGCTAGGCACAGGTCTGGGGGCTCACTGCAGGCCACTTGAATTTTTCTGTACAGATGATTACAGTGCTAATGCAAGTTATTAAGGAGATGGCGATATTTCTGTCATAGACATCAAAGTTGAGGTATTAAATAATACCCAGCCCATTATGGCTTTGCTAGAGCCCCATAATGGTTTCTATTTGAAAAGGTTTCTGTCTGCAGCTGAGTACAGGCCTGAGAATGGGGAAAAAATAACTGCAATGAGTAGGAGCTGTGTGGGTACAAAGTGACTGCTTTCACCTGTGTGAAGCAGAGCTATTGGCATCCATGTGGATCAAATGCCCATAGAAGATCAAGGACAGAAAGTTATAAAAATTGTGCTGAAAAATAAGCTTGGAACAGCCACGTCAGCTCTTAGTAGGCTGAGTGAACACAGGCCTGCTGTATTGGCAAGACAAATCCTGAAATGCTGGGGATTTTTAAGTAGGACTTTAGGGAAGAAATTGTGTGCGACCTCTAGAGTCTTCTCTCAACTCTGTCAGGCACTTCTGGTTTGACAGGACAGTGCCTGCATTGGAATACCGTGTTCAATGCTTTTCTCTCCCTAGCTGCTGTTCAAAGCCCCTTTCCTGTGCTGGAGCTGTGCAGTCCCCAGGGCTTGATGGTCTTTGGAGAAAGTGGCCACGTTCAGGAGAACAGCTACCCTGACAACAGGTATCTGCCCAAGCAGCCAACTGCTGCCTTTCCCCTGGGCACCCACCAAAGTGTTTCCCAGGGCTCAGAAGCATCAACTGCTGCTGGCAGTGTCCAGATTACAGCAGCAATGCAAATTCCCCTGTGCTTGCTGGGCAGGGTAATGGGAATCCTCTCCACAAGGAAAGGATGACACAAAGTCTATTTGTAACGCAGCTTGTGTCTGGGCTGCACACACAAAATGGCTGTGGCTGGCTTGAGATCTGTTGTGCCCTTTGTGGCTCAGCCATGTCCGTGTCAGCTTGCACAAAGAAGCTTTCAGTTCTTGCAAGAGGCACAGAAATGAGATAACTGGGCTGGCAGTGTCAGTAGCACAGCACTAAGCTATTGCTGCTGTAAGGAAACATTGGTCCCTACCTAGTGCTGGGCAAATTCACAGCACTCCTCTGCACTTCTCAGATGATAAAGAGTGTAGTTGGAAATACCAGCTGTTGGCTTCTGGTACTTGCTTGCAGGAAAGTAATTACTGGAGGTTCCCAGCCCAAGGTGGGACCACTCGTGTATAAGCTCAGCCATTCAGATTCATGCCTTTGCTATTGTTTGCTTCTAGCCCATGCATGTGGAATGTAACAGTACTGAAGGAGAAAATGATCCTAATCTACTTCAGCAAATTAGATGTAGCATGTTGGATGTGACTGTGACTATGTGTGCCTCTATTCAAGCAGAAGAGAGCTGATCAGTAAGTCTGGGTGCTTTGGAGAAGTGAGAGGCATGGGTTCTGATTTTTTTTTTTTTTTTTTTTAATTCATCATCATGAAGAATAGCAAATCTAGTTGGCTTTGAGAAGCCCTTTTTATTGCATGCTATGAATCTGACAAGCTGGAGGTGATGCCCCAGGTGGGGCTGAGGGACATAGAATCATAGAATCAAAGAATCACCAAGGTTGGAAAATACCTCCAAGATCATCCAGTCCAACCTATCACCAGTATTTCCTCACTGGACCGTGTCCCTTAGTACAACATCTAAACAGTTCTTGAACGCCTCCAGGAGCAGTGACTCCACCACCTCCCTGGGCAGCTCATATTTGTCCTGGCATCTAGTGTAGTGTGGTGGCCTGAAGTGTCTCAACAGTGTCTTTCAGCTGTATATAATTCACCATGCCCAGCATTCCTTGTCTCTCCCATACCTCTTTTATTCCTAAGGACTATGGATAGCAGGGTAAGCTGAGTGCTTATTCTTGCTTAACTGGTGCATAGCCAGGTGACTTTCTGATGTGTTAAGCATTGCCAGAAGGCGTATTGGAGAAGCAGCTCAGAAAGGATGGTTATTTGTTGGTTACAAACTGTTTACATGGCCCAGGAAATGTACAGATTACTGAGTAACTAGTAACTACTGAGTAAAGGTGAGACCAAAAGAAGCAGCCTTTTTCCCCTCTCTAAGGCACTCAATGCTGAACTGATAGAGAATAAATATTTCAAGCAAATACTAACTACTTCTCTCCTCTCAGTACTAGTGGCAGTGTGCTGTAATAACCCATCATCCGTAGTCCACAATTCATCCTCTAGGAGCACTCAGTTCTTCATATGGTTGTTTTGGATGAAGTCCCTTCTCCAGTTTTTCTCTACAGCCTCTAAATATTTTATAGGTAGAGAAAGCTGAACAGTGTCTCCATTTAGCATGAGCTGACAGCTTCACAGAGGGATCTACCTTAATGAATCACTGTGATATTTGCCTGAATAAATGCATGCTATGACCACCTAAGCCACGAAATCCTTGTCTCCCTCAGATAAGGTCTGTGGAGGCATATTCCCAGCCCTCTGCTGATAGTCAGACTGGGACAACATTACGTTTGTTTCTAATGGGGATGATGCTAGCTGTGTCCAAGCTTGCCATCGCAGCTGTCCGTAAGGACTCTAAAGCAGGTGAACATACCTACACTGTAGAAACTCCTACCCTTTCCTTTTTGACCCCCTTAAAATAAATAACAAAAACCCCCTGACTTCAGTGTTGGTGTGGGTTTATTAAAAAGCACTGTGTAATGTTGGTCATTAAATTGTCTCTGTTCTCTCACTCTGTACTGTAGGTTTGGGCTGTGGGAGTGTTGCAATACTGGTGGAAAAGAGAAAGATTGATACTGCTAATTACCCTGGCTTGTATCCCAGGAACATGAAGTGCCACTGGCTCATTGAGGCTCCAGCAGAGTATGCTGTAAAGGTAATAAAGGAGAAACTGCACTTAAACCTCTGCACTGAAAGCCATTCAGGGGAGTGATTCAATAAAATCCTGCCAGAAACATCTGTGACAAGCAAGAACATAAATTGTAAGGTTTCTAGGTCGCTGACTTTTTACAGGGCATATTTTGTCAATTAAACACACTCTGAATCAGTGTGCGGGGCTGCTGTGACTGTTCTAAGTGCTTTAAGTCTGGTGGCACCAATCTCATCACTACATAGCTTTATCTTGAAAACCAGAGCGTTTGAAGGGAAAGAAGTACAGACCACGTTGTGAACAGCCAGCTTTTTCCTTGTGGCAGTGTTAATAACCCCAGGCTGTTCCTTAGCCCCATACCAAGGTGTTTATTCTTGTGTGTGAGTAGTGTAGTGATGGTTCCCACACACAGTACCAGCATCTCTAGTTTTACTGCACATCTCTGTTAGAGTGCAGCAAGCATCCAAATGGCGTTGTTCTGTGTTGTCATCTTATGTTGATTGGAGCATCTTTTCTCCCCTGCTGCCTTGGTTAAGCGATGGAAAAACAGTGTTAAACCTAGGGATGCCCAAGGGTATGGAAACCTATTCTTTTGGTTACCACTGCTCTGTTGGCGTTAGATGTTTTGGTCTGGATTAAAACCAAACCACCAAAGGAAAAGCTCTTGAAAGAGCATTCCATGGGAGATATCCTTCTAAAGTATAAGGCACAGAGTGTCCCAGTAGAGATAGCAGGAGAAATCTCTTCAGGTGAGACTTAAGTCGGATCCATCCTCTGCAGCTGTCTGTAGCTCCGCACAGAGGAGCAATCTGCACTATTAGGCCAAGACTGCCCACAGACTGCTCTAATGCAAAATGTGACTCGCTTGCCAAGGAAAGCAACGCTGGCAATCCTAAAAGTGACTTTTCTCTAGCCCATGGTTAAGAAGGGTAAGAGCTTCAATCACTGCTCTGCTCTTGATGATTCCCTCTTGCTTGTTCTCTTCACAGCTGGAGTTTGAGAACTTTGCAGTTGAACTTAGCCCAGGCTGCACTTACAGTTCAGTTGCTGTTTACAGTGATGAAGATGAAAATCAGCTGGGTGAGTATCAATACTTTCAAAATGGAAATCCCTGTGGAAACAGGTGCCACATCATCAAAATATGTTCTGTTAATGTGATATCACAGGAAGAGTGGTGTAAGCACTTCTATCTTGCCTATCACAGCCAAGTGTACCATTGGCACAAGAGATCCCATGTCCTAGCTGTGACCTTGCTTTTACATGTTGCTGGATGGTGTTGAGGGGCTTTGTACAGGACCGTGCTCATGTTCTGCCACAGAGCACACTACTGCTCTGCATCTCTATCAAAGAAGAGAGCAAGTGCATTGTTGCTCTGAGTTTCATTAAGAAGACGAATGTTTAAAGTAAGGCAGAGGAAAAGCACAGTCGTCAGTTGGTGTCTAATTCCACTGCAATGGATGTGAATTCTTTATGAATTCAGCTAATTTGGTTGGGATTTCATTAATGAAAAAAATTGCTAACCTGAGGCACCTCTTTCCAATGCTTTCAGAAGGAAATATTTTCTTAATTCTGTACTTTATATCTGCTTCAATTTTATCAACATAACAATCTTTAGTGAAACAAACGTTCTTAATTTTCTTGAATATATATTTCCAGATGTTCCTCCTGCTTGGACAAAAGGAAAGCATGCTGTAACACCACAGCTTCTTTCAAGAACAGTTTCCAGGCAAAACATTTAGCAGAGCTTGATATCTATTTTTAAGGTGAAAAGCAATCTGGCACTCAGAAGTGAAGACTGAGTTGAATTCTGGCTACATCTTTACAAGCCTATATGTGAACCAAAAAAACAGAGTAGGGTGATGAGATATCCAGCTTTTTTGGTATAAAGAAATGGACAAGAGGCCCAAACTGTCCTGTATTTACTGGTGACAAATGATCTTTGGCTTCTGTTTTTTTCCCCATCTGTTTTGTAGTGGTAATTTAGTTGCATATGTTTACCAAGTGCTGAATGAATATTAACATTACAACTCCCTTGAAAAGAAGTCTGGTTTCCATTGGAAATGAGGGTGTACTTACACGGGAAGGGAGAAGGTTGGCAAAATCAAACTTGTAGTCTTCTAGGGAAGAATATCAGCATTTCACTCGATGCTTTCCAGTTCAGTTTTGCTGTAGGAAATTCACATTCTTACAGGAAAGCTGCTTGGGAATAAAGTACGAGCTTCCTGTCCAGCTGCAGCGATGGGAATTCCAGATGCTATGCAAAAATGGTATGTTCTCCAAGGGAAGAAGAAACCTCCAGTAGATGTAAAGCTGATGTGCCTACAGCGCAAGTAGATCATTCAGGAGAAATTCTGCAGGTACCATCACAGTGGTGGCAAATAGTCCTCAAGCAAAGGTTCTTTGTGCAGTGGAAAGCATTCACACTATCTGTTGTAATTCCACCATTAGAAAGCTGGGATTATTTTTGCATGCCTGTAATATGATTGCAGGGCATAAATTCTGTCTGCTATTGCTTGCTGATGTCACTGACTACCATTGTCATATAAGTTTTTCTCCTCAGTAAAACAAGAACTTTTTCAAGAAGTGACCAAGTCCAAAAGTTTTATGTGTTTTTTAGAAACCTAGATTAGCTAAAAACACAACTGCTTAAGGGATATCAATTCTCATCTTAAAAATACATCTTGTTCCTTCCTGCAGCTAATCTCTGTGGATTCTCAGCTCCCAAACCAGTGCTGAGTCCAGGAAATACGATGCTGGTGCATTTTGGAAGTGATGGGGAGAACAGCTTCAGAGGATTCAGAGCCCATGTTACTTTTATTCATTCAGGTGAGTAGAGAGATGCCTGCTGTGTCTAACAATGTCTGCACCATTTGCATCTGTTCTTAGACAGCCAAGCCTATTTTTTAACCTAATCCTGCTGCATTATGTCAAGATAATTTTAAAACAGAGTAGCTGCTTGTGGTAGAGCTGTCAGTCCCGAATAAAGGAGAAGATTTAAGGTTGTTTTTTTCTTATGTCTCTCAGGGAAATGAGATGACTAAATTCTAATACCTGAAACAAACAGCCTTGTTAATGTTATTATTCTGATAACCCCCATCAGTACGAGCTGAGGGGTGTAAGGATGGCGCACAGTCCTGCTCAAAAGAACCTGGCAGTACTGGTGGGTAGCAAGCTGGGCATCAGCCAGCAATGTACCCCCACAGCCTGGAAAGCCAACCGTATCCTGGGCTGCATCAAAAGAAATGTGGACAGCAGATGAGGGAGGTGATCCTGCCCCTCTGCTCTGCAGTGGTGAGACCTCACCTGCAGTACTGCATCCAGCTGTGGAGTCCGTAGTACAGGAGAAACATAGACCTGTTGGAGTGCATCCAGAGGAGGACCACAAAAATGATCCAAAGGATGGAACACCTCTCCTACAAGGACAGGCTGAGAGAGCTGGGGCTGTTCTGCCTGGAACAGAGAAGGCTCCGGGGAGATCTGTGAGTGGCCTTTTGGTATCTGAAGGGGGACTGAAAGACGGAAGGGGACAGACTCTATAGCAGGGTCTGTGGTTACAGGACAATGGGGAATGGTTTCAAGCTAAAAGAGGGGAGATTTAGATTGGATATGAAGTAGTATTTTACAATCAGGGTAGTGAGGCACTGGAGCAGGTTGCCCAGGGAGGTGGTCCCATCCCTGGAGACACTCAAGATCAGGCTGGGTGGGCATTTGAGCAACCTGATCTACCTGTGGGTGCCCCTGTTCATTGCAGGGGATTTGTCCAGATGGCCTTTAAGGGTTCCTTCCAACTCAGAAAATTCTGAGATTCTGCAGTCCCTTTGAAAATCTAGTTACAGAAGAGAGCCACGAACCTGGGACCTAGTCTGCTGTCACTGCATTCTATTTTCATGCCTGTGTGCCAGCTGCTGCTTGGGGCGATGAATAACATCTCTCTGTGAGTGGGTGTTTTTGAGGGGATAGCACAGCTCTATTAATCTGATTAAGAGCGAACTCTTATTTTCCCTCTAGCAGGTCTGAAAGTCTTTCCCCAAGTGTGTAAGAGGGATTTTGCAGCAAGGCAGGTTCTTGTTGATCTCAAATCCTTTTGTGCCTATTTCCATGGACAAAAAGTAATAAGGAGGTACCCAATCTTTGATTCCCCACGCATGTGATATGTTCTCTTTATTCTGGCTGCATGCTCTTCCTGCTGAGAGTGGGGCCACAGAGGTAGAGAGTGGGAGAGATCTTCTTGCAGTTCCTGAGCCTTTTTTTCTGTTTTAAGTGCTAAACTCCTTAAGATTCAAGCTTTCAAGTGTCTGTTTTTCCTTCCTACGTCCCTTTCAGATTTGGTGTCTTCTACATCTTTGACCTACCTATATCCACTGTGCAAGGTTACCTAGAAAAACAAGAAAACTTGCCTGCAAAAGTGCAACCATTTTTCTGTATCTTGCAGACATCTGAGGCCTTCCCACAGTGGTGTTACTAGGGCTGAATAGGCCTTTGCTCACAGCTGGCCACAGCATGCTGCTCTGAACCTCCTTTGAGACTACCAGTTGTCATCAGCCCCATATGGATCCTGACAGCTGCCCACTGTGTTCCATCGTGAGTGGTTCCAACTGTTGCCTTTGCTCCTCTCCTCACGCTGTGTGTTCTTCTGGGCTGGAGAGAAAGCAGCCAGAGAGCTACAGATTGTATTCATACCTCTGAAACTTCCCTTCTGCCCTTCTTCCTGTGAACAGTGTTATGGGAGATAGCAACAACTTTGTCTTGCCTCTGAGATCTGTTAAAGTTAATTGGACTATCTGTGATCAGAGCTGTAACAGAGCCAGAACTGATGCAATGCATTTGTTGTGTTGAGAAGCTCTTGCTCGGCAGTTCTGGGAATAAGTGACTAATTAGAGAAGAGCCAGAAGGGATATATGACTGCTGAATAAGGAAGCTTGAGCAATTGACTATAAGTAGTTCCAATAAGTTTGCTCTCATTATACAGATCCAAGAAACCCTGACTCTGAACTGTGACAGCAGACCATGGTAGAGCCCTGAGAGATTCAATGGAACAGGTAAAAAAGAAGCAAGAACATGAGAAATACTGTCTGTGATACATTTGTCCTTGCCACATTTCTCAAAACAGATCTGTGTACACAAAGAAAACTGTCTTGGCAGCAAGGCAAAATGACCGGTGGGTAGCACAGCTTCAGGAATTAGAAAGGAAGTCCAGTGACTTGGTCTCACTGAGGTAACTTATAGCTTCTGGAAGTACATTTTATACCTGGTTCTTATTACTTGTGGTAAAGACTTAAAAATCTGGCAGAAGACTGAGTGTCCTCGATATCTTACTCTCTTGGTGCTGAACAATATATCTGTCTATAAAAAGGTTGCTGACTTTTCTCTTCTAGTGGGGAGGAGGAAAAAATACATGTGGAAAAGAGGTGACTCACTCTAAAAAAATTATTGGTTCATATTTGCACAGCTTATTAGCTTGTATTTGCACAGTGCTGCAGTCAGCCATCTCTGTAGGCTCAGGAGATCTAAATAATGTGTCCTGGCAATATTCTCAACTGAAAAGTGAGGGATTTCCATTTGAAGTGCTTGCAACTTATTTGCTTCATTTTAATGAGTTTGGTCATTCTTTGTGGTTTTGCCCTCCTCCTTTCTAGGTATGTGTTTGGGATGCACTTACAGGGCAACTTGTCCCTTCTTTGTCCTGACCCTCCAACGTGCTGCCTCTCCATTTGACATGGTGAGCAGTGACTCTGACATTGCCCCGATGCAGCTGGATGTCCCACTGGAGTACACCACTGCTGTGAGACCGCTGTTTCTGCCCAACAGCCCTGTGTCTTCCTCTTCCCTCTGCATTGCATCTGGATGGAAGATCACTGAAGAAGGTAGGTCTTCTGATTTTTGCATGTTGCTCATTATCATTGGAATATACACCTCCAGCTCTATTCTATTCTTGTGCCCAGACCTAACCTAGAATTATTCCCCAAGCTGGTGGGAGCTGAGCTAAGCAATTTCAGCAGACAGAAATGTTAGAGGGGAGTGCTCCCGAAGTTGTCTGCATACAAGCATTGGTAGGTCTCCTGGGGGAAGGAGCTGGTCAGGGCAGAGCAAGTAGCAAATGACAGCTAAAACTCCAACAACCTGTCATCCCTGAAATGGACACTGCTTACGTGAGCAGTCAATCTGTACTGCAGATGCAATGTGCGGTGATGCTAGGATGTGAGATCATTAATTGTAGTGTATTGTTTCTCTGGACAATAATGTCTGTGATGCCTGTGGAGAAGGGGATGTTTTTCACTTGCACATTGAGTCCTATCTTTTCCTAGTGAAATAAATATTTCCTAATTGTAGCTGGCTTGGAACCTCTTTCAAGGCGTGTTCTTCAAGATAATCTGTGAAGACTTGAATTGTTTTTATAAGTCTTACATTACAGCAGTGTCCAAGACTACTCTGTGAAATAATGAGGCAAGCTGGTAAGAACAGCTGAGTAAATAAAAGGCAAAGTAATTTTTATCGAGGTGCTGCCAAGCTAAAATGCAGATTCTGCTCAATATCACACTCTTATGGTAGGGTGCTATTTCATGTGTACAATAAAACATGATTGACTAGTGGCTTTTGATTTTCAGCCCATGCTCAGTCTTCATCTATACTCATAAGCAAACCTTCAAATCAGTCTCTTGGTTCCAGATCTAGAGTTTCACCATTAGCTGTGCCCTGTTCTTGCACAGAGGATTTCTTGGGCAAGTCTGAGCTGTGACAACTCTCCTCTCAGGTACAGCAATGCAGAGGCCAGATGAGCAAACTGCAAGATCTCAGTCTCTTGGTTCCTATGGTGGTTCTGGTGGCCCCTTGACTATAGCCCCTTTGTGGAAAATATTCCACACATGTTGAGGTTTTTTCTGGTAGAAAGCAAAATCCAGGAGGCTTCAGTGATTTCCAGCAGAAAGTCCCTTTTTCTTTCTCTTCCTCATGGCTTCCCCCTTTAAAAAAAAAGACAAAAGTCTAGTAGAAATTGAAATGAGAATTTCAGAAGGATAACTCTTGTATTTAACACTTCTGTCTCTTAAATGGAATATTACATGTGGACAAATACCTTTCTCAGTAAAACCAGCTGCTGCTGAAAATTCCTGCCAGACCCATGCTTTGATAGACAGGGCAGTCTGGGACAGCACTAAACTGAACTGGTGGATGTAAATATCTAGATGCTCAAGTCTGTGGGATAAATTTCTCCAGAGAAAGTACTAGGGAAACCATAATTTATAATATGCATTGGTGAATAAGGACTTATGAAAGGGGGGAGTTTATTACTTGGAGCTGTCTCATGCGCTAGGGTGTTGGAAGGCAAGGGGGCCTGTGAGAGCTGGTTGGCATTTAAGCAGCTCTTCTTCCAAGCCCAGGATCGGTGTGTCCCTGTGAGGAAGAAATTGGGAAAGAGTGGCAGGAGACCTGTGTGGATGAGCAAGGAGCTCGTGCACAAACTCAAAGGAAAGAAGAAGGCCCATGAAATGTGGAAAAAGGGTCTGACTACTTGGGAAGAATACAGGAATGTTGTCAGGGTCTGCAGGGATGCGACAAGGAAGGCTAAAGCCCGCCTGGAATTAAATCTGGCAAAGGGGATAAAGGATAATAAAAAAGGTTTTTTCAAGTACATTAACAGTAAAAGGAAGACTAGGGAGAATGTGGCTCCCTGCTAAGTGACGGGGGTGTTCAAGTAACGGGGGATGCTGAGAAGGCGGAGATACTGAATGCCTTCTTTGCTTCTGTTTTCAGTGAAAAAAGCTCCCCCTCGGGAATCTGAGACCCTGGAGGTTAGTGAGAGGATCTGGGGAATGGAAGACCGCCCTTCTGTCAGGGAAGAGGTGGTCCAGGAGTGCCTAGGCAACACCAATGTTTACAAATCCATGGGACCCGATGGGATTCATCCACGGGTGCTGAGGGAGCTGGCAGAGGTGATTGCTGAACCGCTTTCTGTCATCTTTGAGAAGTCTTGGAGGATGGGGGAGGTGCCTGAAGACTGGAAGATAGCCAACGTCACCCCGGTCTTCAAAAAAGGCAAGAAGGAAGATCCAGGCAATTATAGGCCAGTCAGCCTCACCTCTGTCCCTGGAAAGGTGATGGAACAGCTTGTACTGGATGTCATCTCCAGACAACTGTGAGAAAAGGAGGTTATCAGGAGTAGTCAGCATGGGTTCACCAGGGGGAGGTTGTGCTTGACCAACCTGGTAGCCTTCTATGATGTTGTCTCTGGCTGGATGGACAGGGGGAGAGCAGTGGATGTAGTCTACCTTGATTTCAGCAAGGCATTTGATACTGTCCCCCACGACATCCTTATAACAAAGCTGAGGAAGTGTGGGATGGATGAGTGGACAGTGAGGTGGGTTGAGAACTGGCTGACTGGCAGAGCATAGAGGGTCGTTGTTGGTGGTGCAGAGTCCGGTTGGAGGCCTGTAACCAGTGGTGTCCCCCAGGGGTCTGTGCTGGGTCCGGTCTTGTTCAACATCTTCATCAATGACCTTGATGAGGGGATAGTGGCCACCCTCAGCAAGTTTGCTGATGATACGAAGGTGGGAGGATTGGCTGACACGCCTGAAGGCTGTGTTGCCATTCAGCAAGACCTGGATAGGCTGGAGAGCTGGGCAGAAAAAAAAACAGATGAGGTTTAATAAAAGCAAGTGTAGAGTCTTGCATCTGGGGAGGGATAATTCCATGCACCAGTACAGGCTGGGGGATGACCTGCTGGAGGGGAGTCCTGGTGGACGACAGATTGGCCATCAGCCAGCAGTGTGCCCTTGTGGCCAAAAAGGCCAATGGGGTGCATTAAAAAGAGCGTGTCCAGCAGGTCGAAGGAGATGATCCTCCCCCTCTACTCTGCCCTGGTAAGACCTCATCTGGAGTACTGCATCCAGTTCTGGGCTCCCCAGTACAAAGAAGACAGGGATCTCTTGGAAAGAGTCCAGCGGAGGGCCACGAAGATGGTGAAGGGCCTGGAGCATCTCTCCTATGAAGAAAGGCTGAGTGAACTGGGTCTGTTCAGCCTTGAGAAAAGAAGACTGAGAGGGGACCTGATCCAGGTCTATAAATGTCTAAGGTGTGGGGGGCAGAATGGCGAGGCCAGACTGTTTTCAGTGGTGAGTGGAGACAGGACAAGGGGAAACGGCTGGAAACTGCAGCATAGGAAGTTCTGCACAAATGTGCGCAAGAACTTCTTTACAGTGAGGTGACGGAGCACTGGAACAGGCTGCCCAGGGAGGTGGTGGAGTCTCCTTCTCTGGAGATGTTCAAGACCTGCCTGGATGCCGACCTGTGCGACCTGCTGTAGGGAACCTGCTTTGGCAGGGGGGTTGGACTCGATGATCTCTGGAGGTCCCTTCCACCCCCTACAGTTCTGTGATTACAAATACAGAGGCCCCTGTTCTCAAACAGGGTGCTCTCTCTTGCAACAGAAATGAGGAGATCAAAACTTCATAAAGTGCTTTATGTGATCCCAGTGCTGTCATACCACTTTCCTGCCCCAACCCACTCTGCTCCTCTTTCCCAGCAGTTTCTTTCCTCCTTAGGTCAAGATGAAAATGGCTTCATAGTTTTGTTGGCAAATGGGGAAATCAGCTCCTCCACCACATTTAATCTGACATGATTCAAGACACTTCAAAGAGCCATCAGATAGCTTCAAGTTCCCTCCCCTCTATGTTAAATAAACAGGTTTGTCATTTTAGAGAAATGTTTCCACTTTGGCCTTTGGCTCAAGGTAGCTGCACTGGGAAACTGCTGATGCAAAACACTTGTCTTTCAAGGCTCTGTCCCTCCTCTTTCCCTGTCTGTGCACACATACAGCCAAGAATGTAATTCTCCACTTGGTGAATAGTTGGGATTGTCCCACAACTTTTCTTGGGAGACATCTATTCCTGGACAGTTTTCATGTTTCTATTCTCCTTGTGTTTTATTATATTACAGAAAATGGAAGACTTAACTCTTTTTTTCTTTTTTCTTTTTCCCCTGTAGCGTGCTGTAGTTATGAACAGGAAATTAAAGTCTATGTGAAAGAAAAGTGTGGATAATGCTCCACTCTCGGGTCAGATGAGCAGTTGGACTCCTACTCTGTGCTGCAGCTGCCTGTATCTCTCCCTCATAGTGCCATTCACAGTCCCACATAGACCTATGAAAAATGTTAGTACAGGTGCTGACTAGAGGAGAACTCTCGTCTGAGTTAAAACCAGTCACCAAAACTGAGTTAAAAACAGTCACATGAACGATAGCCAGACCATTCCCAGAGGTAAGCTGGGAGCTGGCTGGAGAACTTCCAACCCTTGGGATTTGACACAACTGGCTGCTGACCCTGGTGCTCCATAGAATGTAATGACTTTTGTGGATTTACTGGAGGTCAGGCAGTTCATACAGGGGACTGCTCAGCTCCGTAGCTATAAATCTTGGAGATAGATGCTTTAGCATTGCATACAGCTTTTGCATATGGTTTTGTACAAAATGTTCAGAGCCCTGAGGGCTCTTTGAGCTGGATGCCGACCACTGACTCCTTTATCTGACACTCATACAAGCATATTTGCTTCTTACTGCAAGAAGTGCTTGGCCACAGTAACAGTTACTGAGCTGTATGTTAAACTGAATACTCTGCTGCACAGAGCATGCCATGGGGAAGCAGTACTGCACCTGGGACTTTGGCAAAGGAGCAACCAGATAAGCTGTCCACAAAACTATGGTAAGAGGCATCCACACACAATAACTGCGTGGCTCTGGGGGGTGGCTGAGGGCAAGAGGCCACAGCACATTGTCTGCAGAAGGTGGTGGAGCTGTTCAATCTGGGGAGCAGCTCTGTGTGATTCTCCTGAGATGCATCTTCTGTGTTTCAGACTGAGTTCTCTCCGGGTAGAGG